TCGAATGTTTACATCGCTGTGGAAGAGCGCTCTCCTGGATGGAAGGTCCCTTCCCTTTCCTTGCCGCCCTCCCACTAAGTCAGCGGCGGGAAAGTAGGATAGGGACAATGAATGTTGTCAGCTTGTATGTATAGCCGCCCAGAACTACAACCACACTACTGGTGCGGATATAGTACTGGTTAACGTACTGGCTATGTACTGGTGCAGGTTATGTACTGCAGTTAACGGCTCCATTCTCTGCGGAGCTGAGCCGTGAAGTGACATACGCTCTTCAACAAAATATGCGCCTTCAAGCGCGCAATTATTTTAACCATGCTAAATAGCTTTAGAAGTGTTAGGCTATTGGATTTCATTGACTGTCATCGTCACTGCTTACTGCGTACTTTTTTCCCTCTCCAATTCACTAACGCATTCACGGTGACTGAAGGCAAACTAAATAACCATCTCGAACTTTATAGCAAGATAAACGTAGAGAAGATGAGGCATGTAGCCTACGCTGCGGCGAACAGGAGTGTCCTTCCTGCGCCCGGGGAAATACGCGCCCGTTGTACTAATTCGCCCAGTTTCCTTTTTCGCCGGTATGAAATGAGTGGCTTGCTGTTGCGTGTCCACGATGGTGCGCATATTTGAGGCGTATGTAGAAATGACACAGTCTAGCCTAACGCATTGTTGAACTATATCATCGACATTTCAGAAGTACTTGCCCTGAAAGTGCGGGGAATATATTTTTCCAACGGGGCCTCGATCGGGAAGCAGAATGAAATGTTTTGCCGCCGCTAGTGAAACATTGAGACAGCCCAAGTCCCTAGCACTAATCGCGCAATTTTCGGTCTTAAGGCTTCATTCTCTCTTAATTGTGGTATCTGGCATCACGGACTTATGCCAAGTCCGCTCACTCAGAGCAAGATGTCTAGAAGAGTCTTGCCTTTATTTGTGTCATGTTTCGGGGGAAGTTGTTTGCCTCTATATACTTTCAAAGAACATAAGCAGTTGTGCGAAGTGCCGCAGTACGGCGCACATTGCTGAATTTGAAAAGGAGCGAGCTTGTTGTCGTTGTTAGGGCGCCTGGCCTACTGAAGCCGATTCGGCTACGCTGCCTTCCTTGCTTCGCGTGGGGAGTCCGCCATGTTCGCTGGAGCGAATTGCTTCCGCTGGTTAAAGCCACGTGCGGTATTCCGCGTCCCTTGCAACTTTATTTTAACCTCTTGACTCTGGCATATCCGGCTCACCTCCGGTTCAGTTCACTTGATGTCTATAGTGGTCGTCCTGCGTGCATCTTTCTTTGTCCCTGCTTTGTTCCCCTATAACATGTATTTAAGCTCATCTTCATGGCGCCATAGCAGTGGGACGTAACAGCTGTAATTTAACTTTTTAGACATGGCTGTACTGTCCTTTCCGCGGGAACACTTTCAGTTCACCTTCATACGTCTCGGGACACTAAACGATTCAAATGGCTGCTACCCTCTCTCTCTCTTTCTCTAAATGCAATTGATTTTAAATATGAATCATTTATTTGGATAGCAAGCCTAGGTTTTCTTTTTTGTTTCTCAATGTCAGCCAAAAATTTAGCTCATCGTAAATCTGAGATTTCTCGTACTTTGCTACAAATGACGTTGAAGACAGAAAGGGTGGCATAAAACTGTGTTATTGTACGGAAACGACGTTATCATCTAAAGGGGCAGCATAGGTATAAATATAATTATTACACGTGCGTATTTTCAATGACTGTGTTCGAACCAGAGGTGTAGCCGGATTTTGTTTTCTTTAATGGGGAGGGGGGGGGGGGGGGCATCGACTTTCTGTCTGCATGTTCGTGCTTGCGTTTGTAAGGGTGCGCGTACATACACACATACAAAACGAATAATTCGGGGAGGCGGAAGGAACCGAACTCCTCTCTGAACCATCCCTTGGCTACATCGGAGGTTTGCACGCTCCACTTGAGAGGTTAACCCGCGGAAGTCATCTCTACACACTTATGATGTATAACGACTAATAAAGGCCTATTTGCAAGTTATCGATTTCGGAGTAACTCCTCTACAGCCTCGAAGTCGAGGACGCGAAAGATGACCTGTACTAACCCCCGTATTCACAAACGCTCCTCGACTTGACTTTCACCCTTCACTTGACAGCGTTGAGCACTGCGCCGCCGCTCGGCTGAAAATGGCGCTGCGCTACTCAAGAATCGCAGCAGATTATCGCTGATGTGCAGTGACTTGTCGTGACTAGAGACGGCGTTCCCGTCGGCTTTCTCAAGTGAAGGTGAAGCGTTGAGTGAAGGGACGTTCTAGAATACGGGGGTAAGTCTCTAAACTGCTCCCGGGTAGCGTACAGAGCAACAGGTGTTGGGGCGCATGCGTCACAGGAATTTTCCAGTCAGAGTGGTGCAAGGCCGAATTCAGTCCGTTTGAGTTTAATTAGTTCAGTGGTATCCTAGCGCAATGAGCTTCATTGAAGATGGCGCATATTGTGATGTGCCCTGACTGAGCTACTGCGTGGGGCTTGTGTGTGCCAAACATCACCGGAGTCTGTTAGACACAAAGCTTTCGAAGACCATCTTTTTTTTATTTCATTCATAGTTTGTTTACTTTTGTGCTTATTAAGGGAAATTTTACAGTCCTCAACAAAACATTACAACAATCCTTCCGCCTGGCTATTTGTGACTATTGGGTATACCCGGCTATTGAATCCTCCTGACTCCACGAGGTGGTATAGAAGTGGGCAGTGTGGACACGCATGTTCCAATTTGTATGAGCGACTACGTAAGCACCGAGCGCGAGAGGCGCCAGAGAACGAAAAAAAAAAGAAAGTGCATCTTCTTGCGTCTTTCACAGGAACATTCTTGTGAAGCGGAAGATTTTGATGTTTTGTTGCAAGCTCATCACCCTGACATTGGGTTGCAGAGCATACTTGTGGCGGCAGCGAGCTCTCTCCTCAGTAACTACGCCGTTACGAAAAAATATATCCTCAAGAGTATACAATATAGCGCTGACTCAGCAAAGAAAACTGCAGAAATTTAGGAAATTAGTAGGAACTGTTTCTGCGCATCTTGTAGATAATGTGTGCGCGCGCTCGTCTGTGTGTGTGTGTAAATAAAGAATAAAGAATGAATACCATTTACCCTATCTACTTTGTCACTTTGTTGGGCCATCAAATTCGCTCTCATAAATCGACCACACGTTCGATAGCGCCCGATTTTTTCTGACCTTTTCGTGGAATAATATATGGCTTACAAATAAATCGCGAATTATTTTAAAGCGTAATACATTTCATAGAGCAGCGCCTTTCCAAACGCAAAATGCAAAAAAAAAATCGGTTACGCATGTAAAACTCGATGCGAACCCTTTCTTTTAACGGGAGACGATGGTTGCAGTAGATTCACAGCCTCCCGTACGCGCGGTCACTCAGTCAAAACGAATGACGTCACGGAGGCAGTGAGCAGGCCTGGAAATATTTTTCTAGGGTTGCCAGCCTCCTTCATTGCTGTTTGTGTCACGGGGAGTCTTCTCTGCTAAGTCTGAATGTGTACACTGTTCACGTGCGTAGACTGTCGCCAGCCTCATTGCCTCCTGCGCCGACGTTCGATGATTTATCCGCATAAAAGCTACGCTAGAAGCTCATGATTATTTGGCATTACTTAACGTATGTTTCTTAGTCTACCGTGAAGCGTGCATTTCACTGGTTACAGGGCAGTCCCACTGTCTCGTAGCGGTTCTCGTAGAGCTGCTTTAACGCTTTGACTTTCACACGGGAGTAAAATGGATCGTTAAACAATACAGCCCGAGTCCCGGAATATTCCCACTGTAGACACTGAATACCTCGGCGCACTGGATCGTCAAGGCGAGTGACGGTTTTAAGCGCGTAGTTGTACGACACTGTGGGACTTCTTTCTCGTTGGCAATTGCGAAAAGTCCGCGTGCTTCGCCAGAGAACACGCCGAACAAGTGGGCCTCCGGTCGGGAGGACACACGAGCAAGCAGTCTTGTGTGTGTACCCACGGCAGAACGTGCGGTGCCTGTCGAACGAGTCAAAAGTGACGAGTTGCGAGTGCGTGCGTGTGTGGGTGCACGTTCGAGCGGCGACACCGGGCTACACTTTCCGACTCTCTTACTATTATCATATTTTATTTGTCTCGCTGATCTCCTTTTTGTTCTCGCGCTATTTTCTTTTCTATCGCCGAGGGCGAAGAATGTCGTGGCTCGTCTATTGTCTCTGTGACGTGGCCTTAAAGCGACCAGACAAATGGGCGTCTGCTCAATCATTTTCAATGCCGTGAAACGTGCGCCCGTACGCACTCAGTGTGCGTGTCTGAGAGGGCGCTGTCGTCAGACATCGGTGCGCGCGAGTCACCTCCGCCGCGGCGCCCACGGTGACGACAGCGCCCCCGTTTCTTGTCGCGGTGCTCCGGGCGCGATGGTTCTTCTTCTCGCGCATACAGCCGCCCCGCCCCGTTGGTGTACGACTACGCTGCCACAACAGTGGCGCCCACAGCATGCGCAACATGATTCCCAGTAATGCCGTGCTAGGTCATTTCTTCTATCCCACCCCCCCCCCTTTTTTTTTGTCTTCTTAGGATCCTCGCACACGCGAGAGACGAATTGAAGTGGACGAAAGAACCCCAGCTGTGCAAACACAATTTTACACGTTGTCGCCCACGGGATGTTGGGAGAGAACAGAGAACATAGTCATCGCCCGCGGGGTTATTATGTCTACGTGGTGCTACTGGGCACGTGCATGTTTAGAAGGTTGCCCTTTCTTGAGTCATTCGGAGCCATGTATTTCCTTCCTAACGGCTGAATAAGCTGCTACGTCTACCAACTCTTCGTCTTCTGCCCGCTTCCCCCTTCCCTCCATTGTAAGTGCGACCAGGCTAACACCACCCCCCCCCCCTTGCTCTTCCTCTTCCAACTAGACTGACAACATACTCTCCATGAGAGAAAGTCCGTCGATAATGAGCAGCCTTTTACTTCATTTGCTTTCTTTTCTTTTTTTTGCGCGAACAGGGACCGGAGACCCAAGTCCGCTTTCTCAGAGGCACCTTGGACGATGGAAAAGGAACGGCAACACCGGTGCGTCCGCTCTTTCTTATACAGACGTGTGCATTTAATTTCACTGTATTTCAACTCAGCCACTCAGTATTCGCCGCGATATGTGGATCTGTTCGTAAGAATGAGACGGTTACTGGAAAACGTGAGTGGCTAATAATGACAAATAGTTCTTATACCATTTGAACGCGAATTCATGCGCTGCAGCGCCCGTACTTTCTAAGCATTGGCTGACTCCGCAGAGTTCCTTGCTCATAAATGCTTTGTCCGGGTGACCGGACGCCATCGCATATATAATGTGGCCATCCATCAGGATTGGCAAATATATTCTTTCAAAAAAAAAAACTGTAGCTTAAAACTTGTTCGTGACCGATTTCAAGCATGCAGCGGGTTGTAAAAACTTGCACTGGTGAATCTTGCAGCAAAAAAAAAAAAACACATTATTAACAATAATAAGAAACACTGCGAGCGAATAAAGAAGTAATTGCTACTAGCGGCAGGCTTTGTGAAGCCATGTTCACAAATGTTTTCGTTCTTAAAAGAGGTTTTTTTTTTATTTCTCTTATGCTAGCGTATAGCGAGATTAGGTTCGTTGCTCGGCGATTTCCGGTCCGCTTTTTGTGTACCGGAAGTTGAGATTTTATGCGGTGCGCGTGAAAACGCCGAATAAGATAAAACTGGTGTAACAAAAGAGCGAATGGTTCACATAACGAGCAGCATATATAGGATATGATTTTGTAGCGTAAGTATGGTAAATATAAAAACCAGTGAATTGTCAGAATTATTGGTGACAGTAAATTGAATGAGTTCACCGAAGGTGCGGACCGTTTTCCCGCGAAAAGCTGGGATCGCTGCGGCACACATCTCAGCTACGCGCTTCGCGGCTTCAGCGGTCCGCTTCGCGGCAGTGCGACGGCGTGCTGCCCGAGCTGATCGCGGAGGCTACGTGGAGGGAGGCGCAGCTCAACTCGTCGTGTGCGCTTAAATTCGTTGAACGAGTTCATTGAATTGGAATGCTAGAGACACGTGTGTTGTGCGAGGTCAGCGCACGTTAAAGGACCCCAGGTGGTCTAAATTTTGAGAGCCCTCCACTACGGCGTCTCTCATAATCATATCGTAGTTTTGGGACGAAAGAACCAAGATATATTATTATTATTATTATTATTATTATTATTATTATTATTATTATTATTGTTGTTGTTGTTGTTGTTGTTTTGTGTTGTTGTTGTTGTTGTTGTTGTTGTTGTTGTTGTTGTTGTTGTTGTTGTTGTTGTTGTTGTTGTTGTTGTTGTTGTTGTTGTTGTTGTTGTTGTTGTTGTTGTTATCTAAAGACTGGACTAGTTGCTTGCGGGTATACACCATCGAAAGGATATGCCCACCAAACTCTTCAAATAAAGGTAGCGCTATTTACTAACTTTTCAGGTGGTAAAGTGCTGTCACAACATTCACTACTGAGTAGTAACTGCAGGTAGTAGACCACAGAAATGAACTACCTCGAAGTATAGTAAATGTCTGTGGTCTACTAGTATGTGATCTACTACCTGTAGTTACTCCTTACGTAGTGAATGTTGTGACAGGGCTCTACTAGTCTGTAGTCTGCTACCTGCACTCCACTACTTAGGTAGTGGATGTTGTAACAGCACTTTACTACCTCAAAAGTTAGGAAGTAGCAGTACATTTCTTTAAGAGTGTACAGAAGAATATTCTTTCACTCCAACGTCCACCCAAGTGAACCTTCACCAAACGCTGTGGGCTAGCTCGTCAAGAACACCTAAATAGAACATTAAGGCCGCCTAGAGTTTATTTTTATTTTGTTTTTTGTGTGTGTCTTTGAATACCGGCCCTGAGCGAACACAAGAAAAGGTACCTGCGCATGAACTGCATGCTCGTGTGATCATATGTCTGCTATAGTAGGGAGTTCTAGAATACCGTTTGCAAGCGCTGTGGGCGTAGCGGGTGCCATATGAGTTTTAGAATAGCGTTTGCCCTGCTGTAAACCGCAACGCACGATCGCAGCGACACCGTAGCCTGTAAAACAGCGTTTGCGGGCCATATGCAGGCCGCGATCGCCGCACGCAATTTCGGATTTCCTGCGTGCGGTCCGCGAACGCGGACTCGCGTTACGACGCATGCGCAGTGGCAGCGACCGCACCGCAAGGACTCGCGGTGCGCTATTCTAAAACTCAGGGACCTGGGTCGGCCAATAGCGAAAATGGCTGGCCAGTGGTAAACAGTTCTTGCAGACGAAAAAAGAAAGGTGTGAATTCCACCGAACACACTCATATTTTGTTGTCTTACCGCAGTGGCTTATCGTAGTCTTTATGACTTGGAGACACAACGGACATCTCTAACAGAGGCATATGCACGAACTGCACCGAATCCACGGCGCCCTGTCGTAGAACTGCGTGTGACCCGAACATATTCTTTTTTTTTTCTCCTTTTTTTATCATTTAGTTAAGCGCACGCGATCTTCTCTTGCACGCGCATGATACCTTCCTCTCCGGCGAGGTACCGTTATCTCTTTGGCGTAGAATTTAACCATTGAATCTGCTGCATACTCGTTGGATTCAGAAAGGGAGTTCCGGGTGCGCAGCTATCTGATACCGCAAGATGTTTGCTGTCGGGCTATAGTTGGTGCATAGCTGAGCTTGAACTGACGGCTTGAACTGAGTGCGCTTTTCCGTGTCTTACGTCTTCCGTTTCTTCTTCGTAGCTCCTGTCTAAACATTTGCGTAACAGAAGGCGGCGAAAGCTCTGTTGAAATTCCTACGCGACACCGACTTGAACAAGCGACTGTAACAGCAATGTCACACACCGCGAAAGACAAGACTGGACTATGACTGAGTGTGCGCGCGTGTGCTGCCGAATGTGCTGTGTATCTATCTTCCCTCTCCGCTCTCTTTCATCTCCCCTATCCCTCTCCCATGCGCAGGGTAGCAAACCGGCTGCCTATAGGCTGGTTAACCTCCTTGCCTTTCTTTTCCCTCTATTTTCCTTCCTTCCTTCCTTCCTTCCTTCCTTCCTTCCTTCCTTCCTTCCTTCCTTCCTTCCTTCCTTCCTTCCTTCCTTCCTTGCGCCATCAATTCGAGTTCAGCCTCAAGATGTCATATGACCGTTGACACACTATACGTCATGGATGAAGGAAAAACTAATACCCCTGTCACACGGGCACCCGTGAAGACCGTTTAACTCCCTCGTCCTTACGACAACGAAGATGCGGTCGGTGTCACACGGCCACCCTTACGCAAACGAAGGTGAATGGAGCATTTCGCAAAGGACGTTCAACGATCTCCCTTCGCAGCGAAACGAGGTACTCTCGTCCCCAGCAGTCTAGAGGTCAGAGAAAAATTTCGAGCACTAAGTGGCCGCAGTGAAAGAATAATACATTTTAGCAATATTTTCAAATCCCGGCTGCGGCGGCTGCATTTCCGATGGAGGCGGAAATGTCGAGGCCCGTGTGCTCAGATTTGGGTGCACGTTAAAGAACCCCAGGTGGTCAAAATTTCCGGAGCCCTCCACTACGGCGTCTCTCATAATCATATAGTGGTTTTGGGACGTTAAACCCCACAAATCAATCAAATCATCAATCATTTTAGCAATATTAAACGTTCTTTCGTTGTAGTACTGATTCACAACGCGTGTTTGTTTACATATATTTACGCCCGCCAGAGTTCACTTACTCTCAACACAGATGCCCTACACACACCGTGCCTCGCGAGTCGGGCCGGCCGGCGCCAGCCGATCAACGTCATTACCAGCGCAATATCGTACCGCTTCTTCACGTTGTCCGCTGTGTCACTCATGGCTAAATAACACAAAATGTGCGCTCACGAGGCAAGGAAGCATAAGAACGAACTTTCGTACCGGGCATGTGCACAGGCAACAAAGCAACTAAAAGCGCAATGTGGCCAGCGTCACTAGCAGCATTGCTACATTTAGCAAATGCGTTTTTATTTGAAATTATTTTAATGGTTTGTTAGTCGCATACCTACTCAATAGTGCTTTTTTGTAAAATCCGCATAACGAGGATTCACAAAAAAATTAATAGGGATGAAATTAGAATACTTTCCCGAAAATCAAACAGCGCCAGCTGAGCCCCCTCGCGGTAACTGTTACAACCTTGTCATTGCCGTGTGACACTGCCACAACTCCTTCTCCGTCGAACCCCCTAGAGGAGATTTACGTTGACGGTGTTCAACGGAGTTTGGTGGTGGCCGTGTGACAGGAGTATAAGGAGAGGCCCTATCCTATCCCAATGCATTGCGAAAAGTGTGGCGGAAGTGACGGCAAACAAACCGGTATGAGGCAAACAAAACAGCAGACGCTCCGTGGCGTGCTCTCGGCGCTGTTTGACTTGTATAGTCCCGGCGTTAACTTAACGCGTATTGTATGGTTTGCATGCAGTAAAATGTTGCCAGCACACCTTTCCCAGACTGTTACTGCGTGGCAGGCCCGAGCGCGGCGTGCTGAAATACTTCGTGGAGTGTTTTTGCGCAACGGCACAGAAAGCACCGGTACGTGTCGTAATCAAAATCACTCAGTTCCTGCATTATCGTATTCGCACTCACCCGGCAGTGACTTACGCGTTTTATTTGCCGTAAGGATTTTTTTCTCTCGCTTTCTTAGCCAGATTTCCCGATCTACGGGTCGATTAGCAGTTCTGTGCTCGTATATAGTGTCAGTGTGGCAAAGCACGATTTTGAGAGCTTGCTTCGTAGCTATTCCGTGCAACGCCAGCCTAGTACTTGACGCACTTCACGTCGGTAAGAAGGCACCACTGTATTGCATACGCGATCGTGCACGTAAAGTGTGTAATTCCAGTACGCGCGCACACAACACGCAGCGAGCGCACACCGTGCAATACATACACATTTAATCCGCTAACAAGAAAAGTTTATTGTCCTTCCGTATGTACGACACAACTTCTGAAAACGCGACACGATGCCTGCAACACTATAAAAACGAAAGTTCGCGTGTGTTCTCAGTTGACGCGATGAGTAAGAGCCAACGGAGCGTACAGCTGA